CCATTTTTAACTTACAATTTCCTTTCTCTACAATTGCTCTGAGGTACTGCTTAATCCAGAGTTTGGCCTGAACGACAAGAAAAGTCAAAAGGTATAGTAAAGTTTTGTCCCTTATTCAAATAAATAGATTCAAGAATATGTTAGTTTGCTAGATGCGAATGAGGCAATCGAGTATGTGGTTATGATTCAAGACGTGTGCTTTTATGAGTGAACTGTGGTGGTTTAACGTTCGGTAATAACGTTATCAGCTCGAACGGATGCATCCGTCGAATGGCCGGACAGCACGCCTTCTTGTTCTGTTGGAAGATCGGCAAAGTGCCCACTTGAATAAATTTTATTTTTTAACGACAGGTCTACACAGATCATTGGTTGAATGATTCTAACATTTTTGGAAGAATCACAAAAGGTTATCTGGATTTTATCTTATATATACGGGAAGTGGAGTGGACAGCAAATGTACTTTTGCCTACCACGGATGCAGGTGCGTTGAATGATTGTCTCATCCGCAAAGTATAACTGGTCCACAAGCTCCCGAGTCCTAAGGCCTATGGACTAGGGTCAGACGTGCTCGCTCCACAATCCCCCAGTCTTGGGGGAATGGAAAGACCTGGACGAAGTGGAAACTTTTATCCTCTATAGATAACAATCAACTTTTCTACCAGATAGTACAGATTAATTTATAGTGAATTAATTTAAAGTCATTGCTCACAAGATCAATTTAGTTCTTTCAAGCGATGCTGGGCCCCTTTTGCTCATGGTGACTCTTGACTTGATCAACAATCAGACCCTAGCAAAGTTGATATTTTTACCGCTGCCCCTACAAGACTTTCATAGCTCTTCTAAGTTTTGGTTTTATTTAGCCAGTCTATGAATGCCTCAACCTTCAATTCATATTCAATCTGTTTCCATTCAGAGCTCGAGCAACAACCATTTAAAGCACGGTGCTTTAGGGGATTTGATAATTGGCAATATAGTTTTTCATGTAGTTAAGTGAGTAGACCCCTCGAGGCCATTTCCTTTCATTTATGCGAAGAAAAGTTGGGTTTTGAGGAATCTCTTGCTTCATTATTGTTGAGCTTACTTCCATTTCGAATAAAAGTGTTAGGTGAAGAGATTCGAAGGTCGGTTCCATCAGAAGACGACGGCGGATTCCTCTTGACCAGCTGTCGATTGG